GCCAGAAAGAAGGCATCCAGCTTTCATAAAGATGCCCAAGTCACATCATTTTAGAAACCTGCACTGAAACGATGCATTTCAAAATACGCTGAATTTGTGAATATCCAAACTACTTAAATGCTGTTTTTGTAAACAAAGATGCCGACAGTATTGCATGGAACTGTAGTCCTCTGCTATGATAGTATCATTAAGTGATATGCTATCAAGAGAGAGGGCCAGTCCTTTCAGACATAACAGCACTCTGTAAGTGCAACCCAGTGAGGACACCCAGATGGCCTGATACTTCTGTAGAGTTTTCCCCTACAACCGTGCTTAGGGTTAAAATATATATATATATCATTCCTTACATTTTCACCTGTGAAGTTAGATATCCTGCCCCAAGACTGGCAAATAAGCTGGAAAAGCACTGGCAGGCATAGGAAGGCAATTCCCCATCCCATGTTGGTGTATACAGGAGGTGGTTGGTTGGTCTAACCAATTAGTGAGAAGCAGCTTTTGCCATCTGAAATTCTGTGGTTCACACCAGCCCTACTTTGGATAAGCCACTTGCTGCCTTTTATCATTTGCTCACTCATGGCTGGATGGCTGCAGGCTCATAAAACATGCATGCCCCAAATTCCACACCAAAGCTCTTATTCTAAATTTACCCTCTGCAACACAGTACTGTTCCCTTGTCCTCTGCTCTCAACCTTAGACACTGGTTTTCATCTCCAAAGGGGGTAGCAGCAAAAATGGATTATTTTGGCATCTCGAAAGATTGCATACGTCTACTCACTGCATTTGAAGACGTAAATTCTAATCCACTGTAGTGGGTTAAAGTTTACAGCATTGACATAAAATTTTGTAAGCCTTTAAGGTGCTACTGAACTTTAGTTTTCAGTTCTCATACTGGAGGACATGATAGCCTTAGTTGCCCAAGTTGTAGCAAGTTTACTTTGTAGGTAGTAAACAGCATCCTCTTGACTCACTGAGAGTGACAAGAGTCCAGCAGTGCATGTGCTATAGCATGAGTTTTCACTGTCTTAAACCCCACTTACCAGATGAGGCCGCTGAATAGTCTTGTTCCTTCTCTCTGTTCCCCTTCTGTTTACTGTTCTCTGTACCAGCGGTTCCCAACCTTTTGGTATGGTGGCCAATCCAAGGCTGGCCCAAGGTTTTTTGGTGCCCTAAGCAAACTGGACACCCATTTCAGCATTCCATTTTCTAAAGTGGCTAATCAGACTCTTAAGAAATTCATTCTAGTAACCTTCAGGATATGTTTTACGTGATCAACATGTAGATGCAGTGAAGAAAAACTACCAGCTGATTTATGACATGAAAGATAACTGTTTCCAGGGTCACATCTTGGTTTCCAAAGTACAGAAGAGAGTAATGGAAAGGACAGGGTCAGCTATTAGAGAGAGCTGGCCCACAACCTACTTTCAGAGGCTTCACAATCCACTTTTGGGTCCTGACCCACAGGCTAGGAAACATTGCTCTATACCAAGCAAATGATTTGCCTTCCCACCTGAACATTTCCCCCTGGAATTCACCTTTGCAAAACATTTCATGGTCCATTCATGGGAACATGTGTTGACAGCTACCCTTTAATATGTTACAGAGAGACATTTACCTTTTAGCAACAATAGCTGTTCAGTTGTATTGGGGGAGGGGCATCTAGCTACTGGGATGATTGTAAACCTGATCAGGAGGCAGCCTTACAAATTTGTTCCTTTCAGCACTGCAGTTACCAGAAACAAACCACTATATCAGACAAGAACGCTAACTATTGTGTCAAACACTATTTGGAGCTGCTTTGAATTGCTAGAATGCCCAGTGTTTTCAGGGCAGCACTAATAAGAAAATAGAACAGTAACTTTCCCATACATTCTCATTCAGCACACTGACTCTCAGCTAAGTCCCACTGCATGCAGCAGGACTCGCTTTAGAATAAGCTTGCATGATGACTAAATTACTGGTCTTCATTTCTAAAATGAGAGGTTCCAGGGGATTCCTCTTCCCAAAAGAGGATCAGCCTCTAGAATGCTTTATCCTTAAATTTCAGGGACAGCTTATGGTTTATGATGGGGGAAAGGATTTAAACATGTTTTGTTACATTCTGTTTAATATTGTTCAGTTTCAGTTTGTTAGGTTTAAGAGCCTATAGGCCATACACCATTAAAAAAAAGAATTTAATTTAAACTTTTTTTAAAAATCAAACGTTTAAAAAGACAGTGTAACAGAAATGCGCCACATCTATTATACAGTTATTGCACAGAGTACTCAGCAGAAGTCTCAACCTTGTAGATTCCAAAAAGGAAGAAAATTTTAATATTGTACAGGATTTAATCAAATGCAAGACTGGGTTTTTCTATAGTCCACAGCTCACTGCAGAACATATTTACAAATTTGGTTTCATTGACTGCTATGCTTAACACATTTCAATTAAAAACCAAATGGAACAAAATGAAATGTACCCACTGTTAAACACAATTTCTTACAATAGTGTATTTAATAGCAATGTTTGCAAGAAATAATGTGGGACAGAAAATGTTAGATGCCAGCCGTATCACAGAATCCACATGATAGGAAGTACAAGTCCTTGAACTCATGTGAGCATTTTGTACTTTGTAAGAACCTGTTCCTGCACTGCATTTCCTTATATTTAAAAGCCTAGTTTTTAATAGTTAGGAACTATGAGTAAGTTATATTACGCATTCTACTGAAAACAGAAGATATGGAAGATTGCTTATAAACACCAATATCAATGAATTTCAGTCCGCTCAGCCTAGACGAAGTTGACAAATTGCTCCTAACTGTATGCCCCACCACGAGCTCCCTGGATCCGTGCCCTTCGTGGCTAGCTAAAGCTGGCTGCGAGGGTTTCAAGGTGCCCTAAGGCAAATTGTCAACAAGTCCCTCTTGGAGGGACTGTTCCCGGGGGTACTCAAGGAAGTAGTGGTTCGTCCTCTCTTGAAAAAGTCATCTCTGGACCTGGCCGAATTGGCTAAATACTGGCCTGTTTCCAACTTGCCCTATTTGGGCAAGATAATAGGGACTATGGCAATTCAGTTACAGAGCTTTTTGGATGACGCTTCCATTTTAGACCCTTTCCAGTCCGGCTTTCCCCCGGGCCACAGGACGGAGACAGCACTGGTTGCCCACACAGACAATCTCTGGAGGCATCTGGATCGGCAGTGTTGTTGTTGTTGGACCTGTTGGCAGCATTCAACACGGTCGACTGATCCACCACCTCACCAACACTGGAATCCAGGGGCCTGCCCTGCAATGGCTCGCCTCCTTCCTCCAAGGTCAGGGACAAAGGGTGGCGCTGGGGGAACAGCTATCCTGAAGGTACCCACTGGATTGTGGAGTGCCTCAAGGGGCAGTGCTGTCCCTGATGTTACTTAACATTTATAGGCGCCCCCTTGCCCAGATTGCACAGCAACATGGGCTGAGATGTCACCAGTATGCAGATGACACCCACCTCTGTTTGCTGTTGGGCAGCCGGTCAGACTTTAAAACGGAAGATCTGGACCAGGCACTACAAGATGTGGCTGGATGGCTTAGGCTGAGCCGACTGAAATTGAATCCGATGAAGACGGAGGTCCTGTACCTGAGTCAGGGTGGACTGAAGGTAAGGATCCCACTCCCAACCTTTGATGGGGCTCCGCTGGTGCCAGCGCCAGAGGTTAGGCGTTTGGGAGTGCTCTTGGATGCCTCCTTAACAATGGAGGCCCAGGTAGCAGCCTCTGCCAAGTCAGCCTTTTACCATCTTTGGCTGATTAGGCAGTTGGTTCCCTTCCTCAAGCGCAACAACTTGGCAACAGTGATCCACACTATGGTCACCTTGAGACTGGACTACCGTAATACGCTTTACATGGGGCTGCCCTTGTCACAAATTCAGAAGCTACAGCTAGTGCAAAATGCTGCAGCCAGGCTTTTAATGGGCCTCCCAATGTGGGAGCACATTTAGCCTGTGCTGAAGGCATTGCACTTGCTACCGATAGCATACCGAATTCACTTCAAAGTGCTGGTTCTTACCTTTAAAGCCCTCTATGGTTAGGGACCTATATACCTGAGGGACCGCCTTTCCCCACATGTTCCCCAGAGAGCATTGTGATCAAGGTCCCAACATCAATTGGTCCTCCCCGGACCCAAGGATGCCAGGCTGGCTATATCCAGGGCCAGGGCTTTCTCGGTGGCGGCTCCTCTCTAGTGGAATGAGCTCCTAGAAGAGATCAGGGCCCTGCGGGACCTTATGCAGTTCCATAGGGCCTGCAAGACGGAGCTCTTCTGCCACGCCTTCAATTAGGAGCCGCCCACGATAGAGAACCCTGAAGCCACCAGAACAGTCTGTGCCAGCTGTACTGAAGGTTGCCTGCCATCATTTAATAACCTATTAGTGTCATTAATGTTAATACCTTTTAAATGTTGGAATGTTTTATATGGTTTTAGGTCTATTTAAATTGTTTGTGTGTGTTTTATTCTTTTATGTAAGCCGCCCTCAGCTGGGAGGGTGGGGTATAAATCGGACAATAAATAAATAAAAAACTAATTTGCATGCAGAATTCATTAAGTCAAGTTTATTTTATCCTCTAGGTAACTGTTACATTCACTTCAGACTTCAATTTCCAATTAATTACAAAGGTGATATCTGGAAAAGGAAAAATGGTCTGTTCCTTTGAATCTCACCTTTTCCCACCAGGCAGACTGTTCATTATACATTCCAATTGCTTACATTAAATCCCAATGTTTACATTCCATCAAAATGCATGAGGAGCACTCAACAGATGAGGAGGAGTACAGCTAACAGCTTTTCAAATAAGACGAAGTGGCTTGTAGCACAAAAAATAAGCTGTGGAACTTGTGAGGCAAACCCATGAGTGACAGTACTGCATGACTCTCTGAACGTTTGCTTAGAAATGCAAATGGGTACCAAAAAAAGGATGATGTCTAAAGCTCAATGAAATGCGTTAAAACTTTAGTTTAATCATGTAACAAATCTGATTTACACACAGGGTTTGCTGTGAGCCTTCAGATAATCTTGTCGAACCCTAAAGCTGTATTCAAACGCCGTGGATCACAGCCCGGGATGCAGGAATCTGATTTTCTGAAACTCATAACCACAATGGAAGAACTGGAGCCAAAAGCAAACAACTGCACAAAGGTATTAATTTCAGTGTTACTGCAGAAACCTGCCTTTTAAGGGGTAACATAACAAGAACTAATTTTTTTCCAAAAAAACTTTTAATTTTTTTCTCCCAGGTTCTTGTATGGCACACGCGAACTGAAAAGGTAAATTTAGCTAATGAGCCAAAGTATCACCTGGACACAGTCAAAATTGAGGTGTGATCTGTAAGCATAAAATAGGATGTACCAAAATTAACGGAGGCAACAGTGTTATATCTACTGAACGCAGTTAAACTTTCAAGCACCATACAGCTTGCTGTTGCGCAACAACATCCTGTACTCATCTAAAGAAAGACTTCTGTGCAAGCCACCTGTCAAATGGCGTGAGATGTATGTAATTTGTCTTTACTTGTTTTGCATGCGTTTCTCCAATCCATTTTAGCACTTTAAGTAAAATATTTAGATTATTTTGACAAAACCAGTTTAACACAATGGAATAACTGGGGTGGGAGACTGATCTAAAGCAATGTATATTTCAGTTTGTTGCTCCTTCATTTGCCAGATTATTTATACTTGATGTTTATTCTCCCTAAATTAAACAGTTTTGATTTGAAGAATAGTAGACAAGAATGCCACATATAATGAATTAGTCTTACAATGTGCTTTTTCTTTCTTTAATATAGGGAAGCAACAGCTTATCAGTGTGAGGCAAATGTAAACACAATTAATGGCATAAACCTGGATACAGCTGTAATGACAAAGTTATATCTTTCAGAGAGTTACCCTGTATGTATGCTGTGCAGTATACTTTTAGATTAGGCCTTTATCACCGCTGCCACCATCTCCCTGTGATGTTTGACTGACTTATTTTAAAACATGGGAAATTCAGAGATCAGTTTCTGTTTCTTGGATTTTTTTGTTTTTTAACTGATGTGGCTACCATGACATCCAGGCTTATGTTCCTTTCACTACCGTATTTCCTGTTCAGCACATCATAGTAATGTCATGGTGAAATGAATGAAACAAAATCATTGTTACACAAGAAAAAAAAACTTGAGTGATACATGTACACTCTTATTTATATGATTAACATTTGTTCATACAGTACCTTCTACAGGAATACTGGGTAATTTTCTGGGTGGGGATTACATCTTAAGAGAGAGTACTAACATGATATTTATTTCCCTTATAAGTAACCATTTGATATATAACTGATAAAATAATTTGAGTAAGTAGTTGGCCACATAGTTCTTCTGAATATGATGCATTAAATCAGATGTATTGTGGAACAAAAAAGCTGATGATGATAGGTGTTCTCAACCTGCTTTTCACTACATCAAAATTTAAGTCAATACAGACTACAACACGGTCAGGTAAAATTACTTCTTAATATGAACAATTCTGTGGGGCTGGAGAGGGAGAAAATATGTACAGACCAGGGAAACTAGATGCACTTGAGCATATGGAATGTCAGATCTCTAATCTGGGTGGAGCTTCTATTTCCATTTTTCATTTCCAGAGTTGTGTGCTGAGAGTCTGGCCTGAGGAACTTCCAGTCCATCCTGCTGCTGTGTTTGGGGGCTGGCCAAAGCTCATCATATTGCTCGAACTACTCAGATTCATTCCAGCCATTTGCTGATTCATCTGTAAAGTACATGCATAAAACTATAGTTAGTACACCGGTATTTGAAGATACAAATCTTAGAACTTAAAACTGTAACTAAGACTTAAGCTTAATTTTAACAGTGAGGAGAAGCACTGTCTCAATAAGTCACATATTCACAATTCCTATTTCCAGGATTCTTTAAAACATGGTTTTGAAATTAGCATAGGTGTGGCTGAATGTCCGTTCTAAATCTTACACATGAACTTTCATGCACTAAAACTGCAGGCAGCAAGTTGTGTATAGTGTTTTCCTATGGGTTGGTTTATAAATGACCAAAGAATATACCTTGTGCACAGACATTTACAGTACTGGACAGAATCCAAATTTTAAAGTAAGTTTTCTGCTAAGATGCCTTACTGGGATATACAAAAGCCAAATTTATGGTTACCAAAGTGGTATGAGAGTAACTTGCATGTGTCTGGATGCCATGTGACTATTAACATTTGCAGAAAGCAAACATGTTTGCTTGCAGTTCTGACACAATACCTTCCTGCATCAATAGCAACAGTTTTGGTTCTGGGAAGTAACCACATTATGTGGGAGGGGCTGTGGCTCAGTGGTTGAGCCTCTGCTTGGCATGCAGAAGTCCCAGGTTCAGTCCCCGGCACCTCCAGTTAAAAGGATCAGGCAGGAGGTGATGGGAAAGACCTCAAGCTGGAGAGCCACTGACAGTCTGAGTAGACACACTGACCTTGATCGGCCAAGGTCAGTATGAGGCAGTTTCATGTGTCTGACTCAAGTGATCTGCTTTTTGCAGCTGATAACAAAGGGTGTGAAATCCAGCCATATGAAAGTTCTAGTAACATATGGATTGGCCTTCAGTTACAATGTACAGATTTATATTCCAGTCTTAGGAGATATGATACATCCAGAACTAGACACTGCATTTCATTTTACTACTGTAGTAGTTCCAAGACACTTCTATGACCTGCACTGTCAACAGATTTCAATTTTAAACACCTTACAACCAGAGCATCTTGCTGTGCAATCCTTAGCATGTTTACTAGGAAGTCCCACTGAGTTAGGACTGCAGACTAAACGTTAAGTCACATTATACCACAGTTTCCAGTAAGTAAATGATTGTAAATAATGTGATGATAATTTGAGTTAGATGTGATTTGCTAAAATCTAGATAGCTTTAAAAAAACCCAAACCATTGCTAAGAACTGTATCTATAAACACAATCTGGTACAATTTCATATTCATGTAAACAAATTCAAATTAAACATGTCATATGATGCACAAATTATTCAGACAATATAATAAGTCATCACTAGTATACTGAAATTACTAATTCTTGTGTGCACTTTATTACTGTTTTTTTCAATGAATGCCTTCTAAAGCAATCTCTTAGGGATTCCTAAATTACCCTTAGGAAAAAATTATGCAATAACTGCTTATCCCAGTCCACTATCCCCCACACCGGCTTTCTCCAGAGATATTTGTAGGACAGAGACACATCTTGTCAAAGATTTTACAGACCATGTTTGCACTGTCTTTTTCTGAACTACAGCTTTGCATCAGCAACAAACAGATTGTGAGGGTATGGATGGCTGATGCTAGATCCTGGAAGCTGGCAGCCACTGTATTATTTGCAGAAAAATACCTGGACTCAGACTGGAACTTGCAGACTAAAACCAAAAAGTTCCATAAGCCCCTATTCAAGTCCTAGGCTGCTGGATGAGCACTTTTTTTAGCTAGTTTCCACACCTGATCATTTTTACTTCAAACTGGTAAAAACTACTCCTTACGCTAATGCATTGCCCTGAGCAGTTTTGGATTTTTTAAAAGGCCGGCTATTATTATTAAAGGCTCAGTGTTGCATTACTGTTATCAGTGTAGTTGCTCCTCTCCTTGACAGGATCCCACAGCACTCTGTAATCAGCAATGATCTAGGTTGGGCAATTCTCTGGCCTCGACCCACACAAGTATATTGCAGGGCGGCATGGAATCCAGCCCCTGAGAAGTATTAAATAAGCTGCTCTGTTAATACAGTTGGCTCTTATCAAAAGAGCCTGTTGAATAATTATACCAGGAAATGGAACCTTAAGTAAGCAAGGATGAAATAGTCTGCTACATGCATTCTCAGGACCTAGCATAAAAGAGCCCAACTAAATTGTGTAGCCAGTAACTGGGACATTTACATATGCACAAACAAAGTTTGAGTCCAGTGGCACCTTTAAGACCAAAATTTTTAAATTTAAGGTATAAACTGCTGTGTGCATGCACACTGTATCTGAAGAAGTGTGCATGCACACAAAAGCTTATATCTTGAATAAAACGTTTTTGGTTTTAAAGATGCCACTGGACTCAAACTTTGTTCTGTGGGCTTGTTAGTTTCCTTTTTGTAGTTTAAGCACATGCATCACTTTCTCAACTGGTATCTCTTCTGGAATGCAGAAGCAAATCCAAATGTGACAAATATGGACCAATACTTCTAGTGTATCTTGATTCCTGAATCTGGAATTTAACCTTAACAGAAAAAGATTCTTTACACTACACCCTACAAAAAAGAAAGAAAGAAAAACATTTCTACCTGAGAGAGGTTCCACTGAGCTTGCTGATTTTGCTGCAGACCATATTTACTCTGCGGTAAGGCTACTGTTGTTCCTTGGGGGCCAACAACATTTTGAGGAAGTCCCAAACCAGCAGTCTGTGCAGCCACAGAAAAGCCATTGGGCATTCCCATGCCCACCAACATTCCTGTGTTTTGTCCTATGACAGGCACTGACTGTCCCATCATTCCAGGGGCTGCAGGCACAGGCACTCCCATGGCTGGAAAGCCTTGAAAATGAGTGGGTGGTGGTGCAGTGAAGGGCATAGACTGTGGTCCCATGAAGACACCTGTATTGGGTAGAGGGGAAGAACAAAAAGACAAGGTTTTCTTATGTAAGCAACATCTTAAATTCTATAAGGTAACTTTGCAAAGATGTTTTGCTCACACGATTTCAGTTCCATCTGGCAAAAAAGAAAGTCACATTAGTCCTGTTCACAAGTTACAATCCGTGTATACTGTACAACTCAGTTTTTCTGCAGATGTGCACTGAATAATTCTGTTACATTCAATGCATGTGCAGCTGAACATGTGATTAAAATCATGCTTATATTCAGGTACTAGTCCTCAGTTGCATTTGCAAAGTGAATGCACACTGGTGCTCTTTTACAAACAGATGTACATGCATGCATGGTAATATGAGAAGGTTTTATGTGAGCTGGGAATGAGGAGATATCATGCAGGTCCTGTTTTCTAATTGCCATGTTCATGAAAGTTTGCCGCTAACTTTATGAGCCATATAAATTTTAACAAAAATTAACAGAGGGGTACAAAAACCCTTGTGAAGCTTAAAAATTGTGTCTGTCTTCTAGGGTACTGAAGAGGATAAGCTATCCCTTCAACCAGATGTGGCTGCTAGTTCTTCCTGTTCTCTCAGCCACATAGTCCTATCAGTGCAGCTTGGCTTAGATGCAGCATTCGCACACGGAGGCAGCAGTGACCTAGGAAGAATGGGGGAGGGGACTTGCTTTCTCTGATTAGCTGCACCTGCTACAGACAGGCTTGGGCTGTTATCAGAGGTGACCTCAGACCACCTGAAGCTCAGGAATAGCTGCTTCAGGCAGGCTACTGGTGGGCTGGGCATTATCTTGATAAAACTGCTAGAATTTATTGTGGTTTCAAGTTTAGCCTTTGAACAGTTATCTTCCCTTCTGTTTCTCCAATACCAAAGTTAGATATTGAAATTCTGTTACATTTGCTCCCTGGGGAGTGTACAGCTAATAAGAGAGGAGTTAGCTAGACAATCTCAGTGCCTAGCAAAGCATCCATTCTTCTGTTGGGTTCTTCAGGGTTTTCCCCCACTTGGTGTGATGCTTCCATTCTTTATGCTTTCCTATTTTGTCTGGTTTGTATTTTCACCCCCACTTTGTTCCTGCACTTTTACGCATCATTTTTCTTTTTTTACAGTTGCCTCCTTTATCCCTTTTTGTCAACAGCCTTCCCTGGAAGCAAGGCCTTAACTCAGATCAGAGATTCGCATACTACAGCTCTAGAACCTCTTCTGATAGTAGGATTCAACTGTGTTAAGATAGGCTACAGTAGTAAATAAGAACAGATATGAGCATATGCAGAACGCTTTCCCTTTACAGCCAGCAACTACTCACTGGAGGAGAGACAAGTTACCCTCCATAATTTCCAGGTAGGGTTGACCTGTGTGGCATTTCTCAGTTAAACACTGCCTAAAAGGAAGACAGCTGTGAGGCGGAATGGTAAAGAAACCACTTAAAAGGACCAACAAGAATAGGACCTTCTCTTACGATTGTGCTCCAGTGTCCATCTCTCTCCTTTCTCCAGCCTGGCTCCAGAAAATCCTACTAGTGCAAATATTCCATGAATGAAAGGCATATTTTAATTTTTTATGATGCATAGGATGTGGTATCATCTCCCCCAAACTGAAATGAGAGCCAGTGTGGTGTACTGCGTAAGAGTGTTGGACTTGTATCTGGGAGACTCAGGTTCAAGTTCCCTCTCATGCTATGGAAGCTTGCTGTGTGAACTTGGCCCAGTCACATTCTCTCTCAGCCTAACCTACCCCATAGGATTGTTGTGAGGATGAAATGGAGGTGAGGAGAATGGTGTAAGGCACTTTGGGTCCCCAGTGGGCAGAAAGGTGGGGTATACACGAATTAAATAAATGAGAGGCACTGTTCTCCCCATTACCCTTCTTCCCCTGACACTAGCCAAGTTCGTGGAGATTTGCTGCCTTCTGGCAGCACCACAGAGGAAGCAAGTGCTGCTGTGCCGTTTCCTAAGCAACAGGGGACACTCACCTAGCATCCCATGTAATGCTACCTGTTTGCACTGCAGAGCAGCAAGAGAGGGAGGGGCTCTTTATGAGGCCTTGGCAACTTAGGAAATATTCCCTTCCCCAGTAGCTTCATCGCCCTTCCTGCCCAGCACTAGCAGTAGGGAAGGGCAGCTCTGCAGTCCATGAATGAGACGGCACACTTTCTCCCTGGGCTTGCCCACGAAGCACTGCAGCATTAAAAGAAAACAACCACTCTCAACTTTAAATATTTTTTTGTTCTTCACACTTGGCTGAGTTTTATTTTATCCTGTATAGAAACAGGAAAGTAAATTAACACGAGTACACACTTTTAGAAGGAAAACCCCACCTGTTGAGTTCTTACCACTGCATTCAATTAAGTTACTTTGAAAGCAGATTTGGAAAGCAATTACCTGGAGCGTTTTGCTGTGGCATGGTCCCTGTGCCATACAGTGACAAGATGGAGTCTTTGGAGAGCAGTTTCTTTGCTGACTCTTCAGATTTTGTTTGTTCAGTGAACAGATCGAGGTCCCCAGATGCAGCAGATAAAGTGGTAGCTGCAGGGTTAGTGGGAGCACTCTGGGAAATAAAGGTCAAAAGAAGACTGCTGAAAGAAATTACCAGAAGACATGCTACCTAACGTGCATTTCATTCCTAAATTGAACAAAAATTAGCACTAAACTTGCCGATTTCAAGGGTCATAAGAATCTGAAAGCTATACAGGAATACGATGTGTTACAAATATATAGACACAGAGGAATTTCAATGCTTACATACAAAGAACACACTATTACTTGTTTCTTAAGGTTTCCCTTATAGGTTGCATAAATTACAATGATATATTACTAAAATCATGAGGAAGCTTACTCTGTGTGAAGCAAAATCAAAACAGTTCCACACTATGCAAAAACATGTCTCCACACAGATGACCCCACAGCAAATATGTGGAGTGTGTGTACATACGCATGGGGACAGTGGTTGGGCCTCAGTTGTACACAGGTGTTTGAGAAATGCATGTATAGATCTATGTTTTCCAAGTTTTATGAGCCTGCTGCAAGAAATATTAGTGTAACACCAGTGTACACAGTAAATTTATTGTGTAAGTTGTAGAGATGCCCCTAGATAGAAGCTAGAATCTCCCAAAATATGGAAAGATGGTGTCTTTTACAACATGACTTTTTCTACTGTTGGTAAAGAGGGTGTATGAAGAAACGTGGTGGATTTATTGTATGCAATATACCAGTTGATTTTCAGAATTTGCCAAACTTTACAAATAAATACTGAAAAAATGATCTGCTTGTCAGTCGTTCTTTTAAATTAAAGGGTTACAAAGAAATCACATAGTTATGGCCTTTTGCAGGATTTATTTTAAATGCTATGCATGCATCTTCGAACATCATGCTTCCCCCTTACAGTCAATGGTATTACTCTCACAACATGCTGGGGAGCCCAATCCAATTGATCAAAAGGGTTAGGGAAACGGAACAATAGCTCAGACTAAGTAATAGGTACCTATATTTCTCAAGGAACGTGACGGATACTCCCCTCCTAAGTATGGAGCAAAAAGTAGGACTCTGTCCCTGCAGTTAGCTTTCTATGTAGTGATTCAGATAGGATTCCTGCCTAAAAGGTTTTATCTTCTCCACAGCAGTCCCAGATTCTGAGTTGGCTTTGTTTTCTTCTATGATTTCCTTGTCTCCTTGTAGCCTTTTTCAAATACTCTCCTTGGAGACGGCTACAGTGCAAACCTTCTTCCAGAAGATGCAACACACAATTTGCTGAGTCTCAAAAGCAAAGCAAATGATGGACAATTCCATCAATTGCTAGTTCCATGAAACTTGAATGGTTTAAAGAGGGAAATTAATTTGTGCCCTGTGTGATGATAGGTCCCCTAGCTTAGCCCACTGTATGTGTCTGTCTCTAGATGAGGTAGTGTGCATCTTCTGCAGCAGGATTTATGGCTCATGCTGCATCTCTTAGGAAAATCTAGCAAAGTCGTCATGCAAGGGTAAAGAAACCTGCATATAAAACTTCTTTTCAGCTACTGACAATAATTTAGGGATGAAGGGAAATCTCTATTGTGGGAGACCACAATTTCTAAAAACATTCTATGACTTGATTCTATGCATGAATCAACCTGGATATGTATCAGTAACTCTGAGATGATAAAAACAGCTGGATTTATTTCTAAGAAAGCACGCACAAACATGAAGTAACATTTAGCACTGGCTAGTCTATACTTTTCACAAAATAAAACACGATTTTGTTTAAAAACCCTCATTTAGTATTTAAAAAAAATCAACATTTCTTAATACAACGAGTATTAACTACAAAGTATTTTATGCAGATAATCCTGTAAATTGCTTGCTTAATCATTTGGTCACTTACTGAAGAACAGAATATGCAAACAGATCTAAAGTAAAGCTTGGATTTTGTGTTTGGATTCTCAAAGGCTTCAAATATGTTTTCAAAACACACACAGGAACCTACAGTGACACTGCACAAATTCACAGGTTGAATGGTTCAGTAGTCTTTGTCAAAAAGAACTGCACCCCTTAAAATCTAGAAATTCCCACGTTTTTCCTGAAGTCAACAGAGCATGAAGGAAAATATTTTTCCATAAACCATAATATATCTATGGTAAACTTTTCAAAGAAAAGTAACTATACGAATGCTGAGATGATTTAACTGCATCAAATCTTTTCCCTCCAATATGTAATGAATTGATTTTATAAAATTAACTGCAAGCGATGAATGGATATAATAGAAATGAAATCAAGCTGTTTAAGTACTGTAGATAATTCTTCTCCACTCACAATGACATGCTTTATACATAACACAAGTACACCTACACACCCTGGCCAGGAAGAGAAATACTTTCACAGCAATAGTTTGTTTTGTTTGAATCACAAACCATGACTGAAATCCTCCTAAGGAGTGCAGGGATTCGGATGGAAAAAACATAAACATTGAATTTCCTAGCTCCATGCAAGGACATGAATAAGGAAAGAACATGCAAGCCTCAGGATTCCACCAAGTTCCTTCCTAATATTCAAACCATGGTTTAGTATTGTGTTGTATGTATGTTTGTATACTTCTATAAATAAATATATAAGCAAAACCCTGCTTCAGTGACAGAGAATGTAGCTCGAGCAATTCTGAACCAGACACACTTCAGTATAAACAAAAATTGAAAAGTGTGAACGCTTCTACAGATGGACAGTTAACCTATGCTGAAATAAATTCAGGTGAGTAGCCATGTTGGTCTGAAGCAGCAGCAGAAAGTTTAAGTCCAGTGGTACGTTTAAGACCAACAAAGTGTTATTCAAGGTGTGAGCATTTGTGTGCATACACGCTGCTTCAGTGACGTGTGTATGCACAAAAAAGCTTATAACTTGAATAAAATATTGTTGGTCTTAAAGGTGCCACTGGACTCAAACTTTGTTATGTTGAAACAGATTAGTGGCATATCATGAACAGCTCTTTGGATTGATTGATTGATTTACATTATTTATCATCCGTCTTTCTCACTGAGATTCAAGGTGGATTACACAAAACAATACTGTGATACATCTAATAGCTGTGAACAGGACAAGGACTGCAGAAATTGGAAACAAAACTGTTGCCTGGACAAAGCATATGTATTAAACATGACATGTTAAACAATACAAAAGTGTGTGTGTGTGTGAGAGAGAGAAGTGCTGTCAAGTCACTTCTGGCTTATGGCAACCCTGTGAATCAATGTCCTCCAAAACGTCCTATTGTTGACAGCCTTGCTCAAGTCTTGCAAACGTTACATCAGTAGAAATGCAGTGCATTCTCCTGGATCAGTTTGCTATGACGTAGCATTAACTTGCTTCTCCAGTAGCAAGGCTGGGTCCAGTATAACCCCTAAGCTCTCAATAGAGTCAGTAAAGGTCAGCTGAACGCCATCCAAACTATGCGGCAATGTTATTGTTTAAGACTGCAGCCTTCCTAGCCAGCATTACCTCATTCTTGTCCGGGTTCAGTTTCCGTTTGTTCTGACTGAAATGATGTGAAGTGGGGTGAGCACTTTCTTTTTTATCTAGATGGCCTGACTGCAGCTGGACACAAAATGGTGGCCTAACAGGTAGGACCAATTACCCAGGATGACTAGAATATACAAGAACAACCCTACATACAAGTTACTACAGATATCTACAGATATCCTAATTCCAAGTCCAAAAGGTGACTGGCCTCAAAAGTTTGGCCACAGACAGCACCACTGAAGCTGTGTGACAGTGATTAAGCACTAAATCCATAACAGACTTTTGTTTATTTGCAATTTTAAAGGAATAGCAACTTGTATTGACATTGTGAAGCATAAAGTTCTAGGTTACAGCTAGAGAACACAGACTGAAATATACATTTTGCCCATTGTTGGGAGAATGTGTTTGCACATCTCTATATGTGTGTGTGTAAACCACCACCACCCCTTGTTCGTATGCACAAGGTGATGCCTACTCACCAAAGGCAGAATGAATGAGTGAAACCTTTTAAGGCTAGTTAAAGACCATTACAAGGTTGTTTTAAAGAAAAACAAAACTTACTTTATTAAACCTATCAAGTATCAGCGCTCTCCAGGCAAGATGCCAGCTATGCGCTTCACCAGAATTTTAAATAATACAGGTCTTATTTCCTAAAGAGAGAATAAGCAAGCAAATAAACTAACAAAGATTTCTCCTACAAAGTATGCACACAGGAGTTCCTGGACTGACAAATGTTAATGACCAAGTGCTTTTGAAAATTGTGGGACCATCTCACAAGGAGATGTCCTTACATTCCAGGATTTATATTTTATTTACAAAATGACACAAGATAGCACTTCCAATTCTAAATGACAACCATGAAATCAGAATGTACAGAAAAAAGACATAAAACAAAGAGACAGGCATTGCATTTTGTGCTGAAGCCTAAATGGGAGTATAAAAACTAAGGGAAAAGAATGTGAGTTCTCTTCTGTATACAGAAAAAAGACATAAAACAAAGAGACAGGCATTGCATTTTGGGAGTCTTGCCCTGTGTGCTGAAAGCTGTTTGCTAACTGAAAGGACAGAAACAGCTATGTGATTTCTGTATATAAAGGGTTCAATTCTCTGATCCAAACCTTTTACTATTAAAATTCTCTTACAACACCCGTGAATCATGCAAATAAGTAATATAAAATAAGAACATTTTATTATCCCTACCATTTCCATAAGAAAACCAGACTAACAGCCCAGTCCTGTACACTATTACTTCTTTAGATTTGTTCCCAACTTCCCCTTATTGAGGATCTACACTGACTCTCTCCAGTACTTTGGCATTTTCTTTGAACACTCTAATATCAGCAAACTCAAAGGATTTCCTTTAACCACAAGTTATTATTATTCATTAGTTCGGTAGGGACAAGGCTATTAATTGCAAATGGTAATTTATGACTAGTTTGTGCTATTGGGGAACTGCTGTTCCCATCATAGGTAAAGCTACAGCTGAATTGACTCCACTGAAAATTGTGCAGTGATGCGAGATGATGTGGAAGTAGTTAAAATGCCACTCATTTCTTGATGTTGTAGATATCAAGTGATGATCAAGTATTAACACATTATAAACTATTAGCATTTTATTCTTCAAGCATGAGTAGACTAAGATTTCTATGGTGCTTAAATAGAGCACTGCCAGAAGAAAGAGAAATTGCTGCCTAAATATTTACAATATAACCCTGAATAGCCTGATTATAAAGCTTATAAATTAAGTAGGGTCAGCCATGCTTAGTACTTGCATGGAAGACCACTGAGGAAGACTAGGTTGCTTTTAAGTAGTAGTTTTTCTGCTTACCTGGGAAGGAGGTACAGAAGAGGCGGGCAAGGGATTAGAGATCATTGGGCCAAATATGTCCAGGTCATCATTCAGAGCTGTGACAGGAGTGGTGATGTTCCCATTTGTAACAGCAGAATCAGCAGGGCCATCTTAAATGACAGCATTTTAGAATGGAAAGTGTTACACCAGATTTTAATAACTGCAAAGTATATACACAATCCAATTACACTGCCAATGCTTAAAGGCATTCTGAGTTGGCAGAACTTGCCAAGTGTTCAGAACACTTGGTATCCTGGCTCTTCTAGTATTCCGCCAGCTTCTTGTAATTTAAAAGCTACAACATGCCAATGTAATTAGCAAGATTTAAATATATTAAAACACAGCCTAAAGTCCACCATAAATGGTATCTAAACTGGTTTTGCACAATTATACAGTTCTACAGGACTTTCACAGCTTTGTCAAAGAGTTACCAGCATAATAGGTTGAGAAACAGAAATAGCAGATTATCAATGTTTTCCTTCAAATAATCATATTAGTAATTTATGAAACATCCCAAACATTCTTTGAGCATCAAGCTCTTAATATCCATCATTTATTACCTATTATTGGAATATACTCCATTGGAATGTACTACTTTAGAGATGAAATAAAAGCAATTGGGAAATATCTTTCACTGTCCTCTTGATTCTAGCATCTATGGTGAATTTTAACTTCTGAATTGTTTAATTTATTGCTTTTTCAAGTTCTATAGACATTTTTTTGAAATCCCGAGGCACAATATTGACAATTCATCACCCACTCACCCCCCAAAACCATGCATATTATTGTTGACAGCTCTTGACCCAGGACAGAAGGCTGGGTTATACCACATCTCTGTTTCATGCAGTTTAGTACCTTCTGTGAACATTTCAATCCCACGTCTGAGAAATTCCTCCTGAAGCACACTTAACACTTGCAGTTGTACAGCACTTTCAGTGTCCAGATATATTAGCATATACTTATGACAGTCTTGCTAGGCCAGTATTATCCCCAATTACAGACAGGGGACTGAGAGAAAATGGCTTGCCTGAGGCCACTTGGTAAATGAGGGAAGGACAAGATTTGAACCAGCAACCCTCTTACGCACTGTGTCCTATGTGTCAGTATATTTACATATCTGCTGTTATTACTGTCCCCAAATGAATAATTAGAAATGGTTTTGTCTTAACCACACAAATAGATGAGGGGGGGGATTCATGGGTACCCCCCAATTTAAAATTCCAGTATGTGCATACATACCAAAACACACACATAGTTCAGGCTAAATTCTTCTACAAATACAAATATTTAAATCTTTCTGCTGGGGGGAAGGGAACAAGGGAAAGATCCATGATCCATATGCTCGTGGACTGCTGGATTCAGCCTACTGTCTCCATCTATGTTACCAAATTTGAAAACTAAACACCTAAAATCAAGGATTAAGAGCATTCTTGTGGAAGTAAAGAAAACTGTGGAGACCTTCTCCCAAAATCTGGTAGAGACTTGACTTTGTACTACTTGGATCAATGTGTCTTAAGATAGCCAAGTGCCCTCTACCGACTTCTTCTTGACTACATACCAATTTCAAACAGAAACATTATCATTTGTAAGGGATGTAAGGGCATGTGCAATATGAAGAGAGGGTTTTAGTCACGCGGGATCCTGGGCGTTGCCCATTGTACTAAATTGTTTTAAATCGTTTTATTGTGTTTTACTGCACTGAGTGCCATATTGTTGTAAGCCGCCCTGAGCCCGCATGCGGGGAGGGCGGGGTATAAATGAAATTAAATAAATAAAATAAATAAATAAATTTCTTAAATCTCCTTTTGGGGTCCAACAAGGGGACTATAGAAACAATGGCAAAATTAATCTCATGGGCACTAAAACACCATGACCAAGTCCCACAACTATCTTGACTGATTGGGTTCAGACGGCTAATGTAATTCTGACAGTAGGCTTACTGATATTTTAGGTAACTTTTAAAATGTACTAGTTCCATCCTTTTATGATGTAAATGTTTTATTCTGAACCATGTTTATTTGTATACTGCATGTTACTGAACATCTGTATTAGCCTAAGTAAGTACAACAAGCTGTTGTGCTTTATGGACTATTTTACTGAGAATAAACACATAGGTCCAAAAAGGTACTTGGAACAACTTGATCCTCTGGAACATATTGGTCTCCAGGTGAAGGGAGTCAGACATCATGTTTTATGAAGCCTCACACCAGTGGCATGGTGGGATAAGAGTGGTTGTCATATTCTTTTTGATTGTAGCAACATTTATTCCTGTCCACCCAGATATTCAAGCACTTCCAGAAAAAAGATCACAGAGTCACTGCTTTACAAAGGCAAGAAAGCAAGACCAACGCTGTCATTAACAGAGAACTAAAGCAAAGTCCTGCATCTCTTTTTTTGGTTTTGTTTTGTATTTTTATATGTGCATTTGTGTTATATGTGCATGTCAGTGCATGTGCACCTGGAAATCATGGTGACCTCTGGTGGCTGACCCCTACTGGGGGCCTGGAGGATGTTCAGAGAAGTGGCTGAATAAAGCCTGCCCCCGCCTCCCAACCTCTGGTATTCCTTGGAGGTCTCCCATCCAAGTACTTGCCACAGTTGACCCTGCTTGGCTTCCAAGAACTGACAAGACTGGGCTATTCAGGTCAGGGCAGTCCTGCATCTCTAGGAGTAAGGAGGAAACAGCCCAGGAATACACTCTCTTGTACCTTCACACTTGGGAAAGCAGAATCCCAAGTGTGTTTCAGCTTGATGAATGCAAACATTTGATCCTTGTGCATGGCATTTCTGCAATTTTCAATCTCTCTGGGGAAAAAATTCCTTCATTAGTGAGACAGGAAGTCAGCAATTCTCTTGAACTCTCTTTCATATCTTCCTTCCGCAAGGGAAGATCATCAAATTACTTTCATCCTTCTTTTACTCAAGATACTTGTGAAAGATTATAGTTTAACTCGTAATGAGCATGGAAGAATAAGTATGAAATAGTGAAGAAAATGCAAAAGAATGATACCATTTAATACTGTTATTTGCCACACTACCAATATGGACATTTGGTTTTTCTAGTATTTTACAGTCAAAATAGGTAGGTGTGACTCTGCACAAAACACTAGCTGGCTGACAGCAAATCTTTGAAGTGAAATAGTGTTTTTATTTTAAAGTTTCTTTGATTAATATCGCTAATCATGAGGAATACTTATTTTTTGCATTTTGTGTGTGTGCCCATGCCTGGAAGTCATGGCAACCTCTGGCAACTCTGGGGCACAGAGGACATTCAGAGAAATGGCTTGATAGCCTGGTATTCTCTGGAGGTCTCCCATCCAAATACTTGCCAGGGTTGGCCCTGCTTAACTTCCGAGATCTGATGAGATTGGGCTTGCCTGGGCTATCCAGGTTGGGGCACGAGGAAATCTTAAAGTGCTGTAATCCTGAATGATCCACAACAGTTCATGTGTTGACATATAAATAAGTTGGTTTCTTTGAAGAATTAAAATCAAAGCATATGGGGCAAAGTTGTCAGAGTTTTGGACTGAGAAGTAGAGCTGTTGCAATATGGATGTTTTAAAAATCTACAACCTTCACATTATTTGTAATTTCAGGGAATTTGAAAAACAAAACTAAATATACAGAATGACATGTTCTGCAAATGTTGACTTTGTTTCTAACTCTCAGTTCTTGCTTTAACCAATGTAAATATAAATATTTCTAGTTTAAGTAGCTAGAAAATAGAGCTATTCTGAGAAAGAGAACCAGAGAGCCCATTTTGAATTTGTACATGATCATTATTTGATTCAACTGAAGTATTTTTACACGTACAGAATAAAACGTTTATGAGATACGTTCACTGTGAATAATAATAAGCCCTTTAGTGGCAAATGAGCAGCACATTCCGTGAGTCACAGGGGTACTTGTTCATGCTTTTGCTAACTTCATTCTTCTCTTGTTACGATAGTAAATGCAGGAGCACTACTGCAACAATACACTGGGGATTCTATACTAAAGTCAGGCAATCAAAGTTGTGGTTCCCATAGTAACTATAACTGTGCCACAATTTATAGACTTATTAAGCCACAAAGATTAACACCTCACTATGGCACAGAATTCAGATACGTGCAGAAAAAACAAACACATCATAGCCATATAAACAATATCTATTGTGTCAAACCTGTGCTATTGTTATTTCAAGCATAACTTTCATAATAACTGAGATCGGTTATCCAGTACTCTCCCCTTTCCTTTAGAGAGAATAAGCTTCAGGGCTTTCATAAGACCCGGTTTCTCTTTAAGAGAACCACAGGCTGCCCTATGCCAATTCTTTATTTTTAATATGGAACAGAATATTACTATGTGCCCCTAAACTGTGTTGATAGCTTCATGACCCTCTAAATAGAAAGATTTCTTCTTCCTCGATATGGTTTACATTCTGGGTTACTTAACTAGAGGTAAAGAACAGCAGGATATTCAGGCAATTTGTTGCCCTGCAAGGAGCTTAAAACACGTCTATGGACCTATGGACCATAACTAATAACTGGACTGTGCAATGAGTGTGCTAAGGACATGGGCTGCATAGTGACCACAAGCTGATGCCAACTGCCTGGACTGTGAACACGTGTCCAGATGAGGGAAGCCTCCTCCTGAGACCAAGGAGATGGATCCATGGGTTACCAGCCACCTCTCACTTGCAACGCAGCAGAGGTGAGCCAAGCACCCTAGCCACAGACAGCACACAGAAGCCAGTAAAAGCATGCTGTAGAGGAATGCCATGCAAAGGGAAGCCTGAACATCTCTACAGAGACACCATTAACAGAAACCTCTGTTAGCACGCAGACACATCCCCCCCCACCCACCTCTGCCAGATACCACACATATGCTTCCCAGTATAACAAAAGAACTACTTGCATAAAGCGATTAGCTGGATGACACATCATACCTGCCAAGCCCATCACCCAGAGAGACCATCAGGCCATCAACACTAACGACCCTGGCCGCTGCTGCTATTCTCTTCTAAAGGTGTCACTGATAGTAGTAATGGAATCAATATTGCCCAACCATTAGCCACACCATCGTCCTGCAACTAGTTTTTGTCTAGCAACTTCCTGGGGACGGGACAGGG